CATTTGAGACCCATTGAAGCTTTTTGTATTCGTTTCTGTTTCGCTCTGGTATATGAGAGGATCCTCACTATGTCAAATAATTCCATGATTTTCTGCATCCTCCATTAAACAGATTGCTGCACTTGGCATCTCTCGTTCACACACAAGTAGTACTACAAAAATTTTGGTGCACCTATTGCACCAAAGCCAAGCTAACTACCAAGCATCTAAGTTATGCATATATTGCTAACATTAGTTTCATTGGAAGCCTCTAGGGATAGGGATATAGAGATCTCTCTCTCCCTCGCCACACCCACCACCCGATAGATTCAAAACGCTGTAAGATGTGAATGTAATTCTGACCAAGCCTCTGGAAGCTCCTTTTGAGTTTAAGCTTATGCTCTCTCCGTGATATTTCCCTGAAGGGTACATTGCTAATGGCTGTTACCTCTAGGATACACGATGTCCTTCTAGCTTCTCCTCGCAGACTTTTTTCAAGTGAGAGAAGGTGGCTTTGCAGGCTTCTCCCCAGTATATGCACCCAGGAAGGATATAGAATTTTACCTCTTAAGTCTGCTCAGTTCCCGGGCTTCTTTCTAACTAGGTGGGACACTTGCTCTTCACAACGATGCTAAGTGGGAGAGGTAGGATGTTAAAAACGCACTTAATCTAAATCCTGTAGGCGCCTCTAAAAATCCTAGGCTCGGTTGCTGTAGAGAAGCCATGGCATTTGCAAGTCACACCACTGACAGGCTAGGGAGCACAGAGATCAGGTGATTTGTCTGAGAGCAAGTTGTATATTCAGCTCTTATGAGCCAACTGTCATCTCAGTGCCAGGCGGACTCGGAGGAAAGGCAGCCGCACGGGCATAAGTAACGTCCGTTCCTAAGCCTGTTACGCTGCTACTCGAGCTTGCCTTTCGACTTTTCTGAAATGTTCTTCTCTCAGGGCACGATAACACTCGTCACACCCGAGATCGACACTCAGCCTTCGATGTAGCAGGTTCCATTTAGACCCGTAAATCAAATGCTGAGGGCGGCAGCACCTGCGCTCCTCGCAATCGCAAGGAGGAAGGGAAGCTGACGGGAGTATTTGCTCCCATCAGCCTCCCGCCGTGTGGACGATACCAAGCTCGGCTTAAGGTAAGCCCACTCCAGCTACGTATTCTACACAGCTGGAGTTGCATACCTCAAACTGACCTTGTAGGTCCAGTGTAGAGCTGGCTGCAGTCTGGAAGCTGGATCAGATCTCTCTGTGGGCGTGCAGTACTTCCACCTCTAATTAGCACTTCTCAGGCTGCCTCCCAAATTTTGTGACTGCTCACTGGTTTCCTAAAGTGGGATTTGCACAGGAAGTGTTGTGGGAGAAGAGAAGGTGACAGGTGTTTCACTGAATGTATTACCGCCTCAGTTCTAAACCGATTCCTGCTAACCGTCCCTTTCCAGAAACAGACCCTCCGAGGAACTGAGAAACGACTTGGGGCAAGGTTTCATACGTGCTCTTAGCTCCAGAATGGTGTGAGGCTAAGTGATGTACACCCACTAATCTCTCTCGCCATTCTGATGGGCTTCCCTGGCTCACTGCAGAGGCAATGCATCCAGAGAATCCCATACTGGTAAGGAACCCTTCCTTTTTGTGTACATTGCTTCACATCTGATGCATTAGAAGCACTTTTAAAAAAAACCATTAACCCCCCCCCCAAAAAAACCCACCTAATTTCAATCCTTTTTGTTGGATTTCACTGCTGAACTGAAAACACAAAATACATTCAGCAAACAGGTCAGAACCACCTTCTCTTTACTAACCCAGGGACTGCTGCTTTGCCTGTCCTCGATTTCACAGACGTTATCCATGCCATGACCTCACTAGATAGGCTCATCAAACCCAGGCTTCCCTTACAAAAGGAAGCCCAGCTCCCATGGATTGCAGTATGCTTCCGCTGGCTGGAGAGAGAGCTCGCCTGTGTGCATGGAACACTGGTGAAGCAGCAAGAGTGTTTCTACAGCTACTTTCACTGGACAGGTCTGAGCGTGCAGCACTTGAAACGTCTACAGGGATCAGAACCGGTCCCTACTTCCAGTAGCTACAGCAATCACTCAGAGAAATACTGCCACGTGTGCCAATCCCGGGCCATTCTCACTCATTCACTATTGCCACTCAGCACTGCTGAGATCTCAGAACTCCTGCAAGAGGAGAGCTCCTGGCTCCAACTCAGCCCTAACAAGACCAAAGTGATGCTGACTGAAAAGGCAAAACACTTGGAAGACCTAGCCAGGACAAGGTCTCCTTTGCCACCGAAGGCACACTGGCTCCATTCTTAAAAACGTGGTTGGATGCCTCAGGCGCTGTTTGACTCATCCCTGAGTTCTCAATAACTAAATACTCCCCCTGCCCCCTCCAGCTTGCTAAGAAACATGATCCCTTCCTCCTGGGAAAGGCCTGGCCACAAAGATCCCTTCATTTGCACTGCACCCAATTCCAGGGATTCACTGCATCCCACTGCCTTCTCCATGGCTCAGGCTGCTAGAAACACACCAAGTCCGCACTCTAGTCATCACCGTCTACCTGGCCACATCCAGTGCCGGTTTAAGGCTCCGGACCAAACCCTCAAAGCAATAATGGATCGGGTCCAAGGTACACTGGAGACCACGCTTTAATCTACGATCCACCGTGACTGCATGCTGCTCTGGGCAAGGCAGATCAAAAAGGCCAGAATGAAGTGAGAGGCCAGGGGACAACACGCTGGGAAGCCGAAGGGATATGGTTTGGGAACAAACTGGCAGAGGAGAGAAGATGATAAAAGCCAGGATTCATCTAAAGGAGGCATTGCAAAAAATTGGAAGTTTTCTTCCCACCATAACCAGAATATTTGGATCGTCAGCCACCACACCCCACCGCCCTTAAAATTATCCCACTGCCTTTACACAGAACTTCCAACACCAAACAAGGGGACAAGATTTCCCCTTAGGAATTTTGCTATGAATTTACTCTACATGGAAGGAGCCCACATGTAAAAGACAGTAGCACAAAACCTTAAGAGAGATAAGACAGAGATTCAAATGCATTTCCTCCGTCTCCCTACAATATATTCAGCTTTCTGGTATACAAACTATTGTTTGTCCTAAAGCATTTGCCATAATAGTTGTATCAGCCTTCATTTCCTTTCAGTTGTTACCAGGCCTGAGCCTGACCCCGTTTTCAGACCAGAGCACTACATCGCTTACTTAGCCCCGTTTCCTGGGATGGCCCGTTAGTAATGCATGCCTTTCCTCATTAGCAAACGGGGGCTTACTGCAGGGTTGCTGATCTATGACAGGTGAGACACAGCCCAAGGACACGCTTCAATAGGACATGTGTCCTGTCCAATGAGAGAACCAGGCACTGTCTTCCAAACCAAGGCGTCCGTCCAAAGCCCGCCCATGGCGATGCAGTTTGGGTTCTGGAGGTGTGAGGCTGCCTAAAGCAGCCCAGTGCGGGTCTGGCCAGCAAACCCCAGGCTATGATTCTGCATGGAGAATGAAGAAAGGGGCGGGATACAGGGAAGTGAATTAGCCCCACCCCTCACGGTATTCCCAGGACAGTAACAATGGAACAGGAGGGTGCCAGCTGCAGAATTTTATGCGGCACGAGGGCTAAATTCTCAAATCTAGGCGGGGGTTAATTTTGACTGGCACGTGGCTGTCGCTTCCCAAGGGACGTTAATTGCGAGGGTAATCGGCAGGTCCCACTGTAGTAAATGGGCAGACGGAACGAATTCCACCACTGCCTACAGCACCGAGGAACCATCAGGATCTCACCAGGGAGGCATTACACCCCTCGGATAGGGCCGAAGGTGGACTCCGAACACTCTGACACACGGTCTGACTCGGCCAGAGGGAAGAGCACCCGATTAGCTGGACTAACCCTTTGATCCTGGGAGGTGAGCTAGGACAGCAGAATGGGATCCGCAGTCAAAACTCCTGGGTCCTGACATCGATTCAGCATGTGATTTCTGTAAGGCGCGTCTATTAACTCAGCTAGGAGAAGGGGATAGTACCTACAATTGTAAAGCACTGGGGTTCTCAGCTGATAACTGCTGCCTCAGATGCACCAAATGGTCAGAGCTAGTATGTGCCTATGGTGAGCTAGGACAGCAGAATGGGATCCGCAGTCAAAACTCCTGGGTCCTGACATCGATTCAGCATGTGATTTCTGTAAGGCGCGTCTATTAACTCAGCTAGGAGAAGGGGATAGTACCTACAATTGTAAAGCACTGGGGTTCTCAGCTGATAACTGCTGCCTCAGATGCACCAAATGGTCAGAGCTAGTATGTGCCTATGCAGAAGGGGGGGGGGGGGGGAGAGAGGGGTTAAAAAACAGAACTCCAGGCAGAGGTTTCTCGGGGTGTGCTGATCTGACACCGTGTCACGCCCACTGTGCACAGCTATGGCTTAGTGGTAAGCACCAACTTCTACACCCCTCCCCATTATTCTGCATTAATGACGCCCAGGTTCCTTTTAGCATGGTCACTCCTATCAGGTCAAGCTGGTGGTTGCCCCAGGGCCGCACAGCTCAGGCTCTGCATCGCTGCTGGACATTCCTCACCCGCACTGGCAAAGGGCGGAAAGGGGACCTCCTCCAGGAAGCTCAGGGAGCAGAGACCGCTCCTCAGACACCAGGAGAAACAGCTAATGGCTCTGCTCAGCGAGAGCTTATCTGGTGACTAAAAGCGGAGCCTTGGCAGCTCAGCAGTGTGACTCAGAACACACTGAACGGGACCCGGTTACCTGGGTCAGTCGGGGAGGACAGCGAGAGAGCCAGTACCGGTTAACTCAGTCTGCGGCGCTAGGGTTACAGAGGTACGGGTGGGCCACAGCAGGGAGCAGAGACTCCAGGCGGCTTGTAGCGAGAAATGACCACTGGGAGCAAACTTCCTCTCCAAAGATGCCCTTAGGAGCAAAGCTCCGTCGCTCCCATTCACTTGCACACAGCACCACCAGAAGCAAACCACGCACGAGCATTTCAACAGACAACAAGGCCCATAAGAAAAATACCATCTTGGTTTATTGTTTAAAAAGTCGGTAAAACCAACAGAAACGTAGGGAGAGCAGGCGGCTGCTGCCTGTTCCTTCTCCCCAGCTAGGACAAAAGTCTCCAAGCACAGACAGTGGGAGCCCCCAGACTCACACTGAGCAAACAGCATGCCGGGGGCATCGCGGTCTCTACACTCCAGCAGAGGGAGAGAAGCCCACCCTTTCGGTGTCAGGACCCACTGCCCTCCCCGCAGGACAGAACCGATCCCTCTGGGAAAGGCCTGCCACTCAGGGTCTGCGACCCAGCCGCATTCTCAGTGTGGAAAATGGCCCGGGGAGGGGGCGGGGAAGGAGCCAGGAGGTACAGCAGAAGCGGGAATGCACCACACCAGCATGGCACAGCCCCTGCACCATCTGGCCCAAAGGAATTGGATCCTCAAGGAACGATCTAGATGGGGAGCTTGGGCCAAAGCCCAACATGGCAAATAGCTGCGGCTTTTGTTGGCAGACAGACCAAAGCTATTCCAGAGGGAGGGAAAGGCTGCACTCCGAATACATTCGCCCCTCCCCGCCCGTGGCTGTCCTGGGTTTCCCCAGCACAGGGACGGGGGATAGCTGGAAGGGCTGGCAGGAAGTGAGGGCGCTGCCAGGACTCAGGGAGGACGACACCCGGAGTGTAAGGAGCAGACAGGTTCTAGGCACTGCAGCACTGACCCCCTCCCTCTGCCTGGAGTCTGAGCTGTGCTGGGAGGAGCCGGGGAAGCCGCTGCAGACTGGCTCTGAAATTGGTTGGATGGCAGCAGCACAGAGACCATGGTGTGGATCCAAGCGTCACGTGAATTCCCACTGGCCCCAGCGGTGACAGTCCGAGCCCTGAGGACCAGGTTTCCCTGCACGCTGCCTCTGTAGGCAGCCAGCCCAGTGCAGCAGCACTGCTCCTGCGGCCACATGCGCCAGACATGAAGGGGAGGGCCAAGAGGAGACTTTTACTGGCTCACGTGCATCCCAGTCGTTTCCACCACGCACCAAGGTCTCAACAGGGACCTCCCAGCTCAGAGACCCACAACTCGGCCCTCAGATCTCGACGTCACTTTCCTTATCGTTGTCGTGCTCACCGTCGTAGAACTCATTCGAAGCCTCAGGCCTGAAAGACAGACGAGTGCGTCAGGGCAGGCAGCAGCCTCCTCCTGCGTTTTCAGAAGAGAGGAGCTGGCCGCAATGCAGGGACGAGAACACGCTGCTAGCTGAAGGGAGGCAGGGACTCATCTCCTGGCCTGGGGGACATGGGATGTGTCCCTGAGGCACAACACGTGCTAGCAGAGGAACCAGGGAATCAGAAGGGAGGCAGTATCTACTCTGGGCCTCGGACAGTCCCCACCAAATCTCCTCACTGGAATGGGAAGGGCCTTTCCCTGCATGGCAAGACAAGGAGAAGGGGAGGCCCAGTACCTGCTGTAGTTCTCCTCAGAGCCTCTCTCCTCTGGGTCAGGTTCGTCTGCACGGTCATAGCTGAGCAAGTCAGAAGGAACATCGTGGATTTGGACACTGGGGGCATGATTCAGCATTTTCAGATTCTCAAATATTGTCTGTCTGATTTGATCCAGGTACTGGTTAGGAAAAGACGACGTGATCAGGACCACAACTGCTGGCATTAACACCTGCCTGCAGCAGGCATGCCCTAAGGCTGGGGTGGGCAAGATACGGCCAAGCCTTTTAATGCAGCCTGCCCCTCCAGGACACTCGGGCACGGAGCAACTGCACACCACTCAAAGCGGCTGGCTGCTCTGCGTGCCTCTTTGCACTGTGTGGAGGGGGACAGCTTCCCGTGTTGCCCACGCCCCCAGCACAATCTCTCAACTCCTACTGGATAGAAACTGGTCAATGGGAGCCGAGAGATTGTGCTGGGGGAGGGACAGCACATGACACCCTCCCCCCAGCGGGCGGCGCAGAGAGCCTCACAGAGCAGCCTGAGGTTTGAGCTTGAGGCAGGCAAGGAGCCTGCCTCGGGATCCTGCTGGGCTGCTGTCCTGGAGCTGCCTAAACACCCCTGCATCTGGCACTCCACCCCAACTCCCTGCCTCAGGTCACCACTGAAACCCTTTACCTCCCCCTTGCCCCAGGCCACAAGTTCCTACATCACCCAAACTTCCTCTCACCCCCCCCCATCCTCCCTTGCACCCCAGACCTCTACCCTGAGCTGCCTCCTGCAGCCAACCTCTGTCCCAGATGCCACACCCCCTCCATAGGATAGTGCAGCCTTTGACCACTTACCAACACCTTGGGAGTCCCTTCCGCCCCCATCACTATTACCGCTCATCCCTGCCCTAGGGCCATGCAAATGCCATCAATGCAAGTGACTTTCAAGTGCAGCACAGCAACAGCACCAACACCGGCACTGAGGGCAGCCAGCTCTTACACCGCGGTGGCTGTGGAGCTGTAGTTCTTCAGCATCGCCGCTGCCCAGGCCTGCCGTAGGCCAGGGGTACGTGGCTCCCTGAGGTCTGCCAGGGGTGCAGCAACTCATCTAAGATTTGCCTAGTTTTACAAGAGGCTGCATGAGGAGCACTAGCAAAGTCAGTACAAACTAAGACTTCATACAGTGACTGGTTTACACTGCTCTATAAATACGGTACTTGCAGGTCAGCGTACAGTACACGCCAGCTGATTATTTTATAACAATACTAGCAGATTCCCTGGCATTGTTCAGGACTGCAACGCAATTAAGGTGCTTTTTCTTTAGGAAAATAAAAGGAAAATGTACCTGCTTTATTTAATAACTGTAGTTTTCAAAAATAGAGTGATTTTTATTACGTTAATTTTTTTGAAGTTCCTAAAATTGCTAGTTTTTCTGGGGGGTTTTTTTTAGTATTTTTTTTTTTAAATGGGAATTCCATCAAGTGGGTTTTTGATTTGTCCCTATAAATTCTTATAATTCACCACGTTTTAACAAAAAAAGGCTAGAGTCAATTTGGTTTTCAGTAACATTTTCTTCTTGTTTTCAAGCCTTAAGCACTGATTTAGCTGTGCCAAAACAGGGCACTACTCCGCATTTCTCCATTTTATCTCTTTTCTGTAAGGTTTAACGAGAAGCAATCCTATTCCAGGTTCATCCTATTTTTCTGGCTCATCTCGGATCAGCCTCTTTCAGCATTTGCTCAGTTACGTCAAGTCTGAGGACTGAATTTGCTTTGGTGATTCTGTCTCTTCTATTTGGTTTTATGAGAAGCAATTCCCACCACATTCCATTTTCCTGGCACAACCAAACCCTTATGGCGCTTTAAGCTGTTCTAAGAGGAAGCTGTCTACTGAACTTGGCGATCCCAACTCTTACCACTTAGGAGGAATTCTTGATCGAACAGACAAACTCTCGCAAATATACAGCATATGGTAAAAATGGGAAAGTCAGCAATTTGTCAGTAAGAGCGTGCTGCGACACTTGTGCATTTGTCTGATTGAGAGTCCTGTATTAAGCAAGCAGCTTAAGCGAAGTGAAATCTGGGGCATGCAAGACAAATCAGACTTTTGAAAGGGGAACAGTTTGGGTAGGCTGAGAACACGGTGTTGGTTATCCACCCCCCAGGAGGCAGTAGCTATGTCAGTGCTAGTCTACGCTGGCAGTTAGGTCAGTATAACTCCACTGCTGAATGACAGCTATACCGCCATATGTTGCTAGTGCAGACCAAGCCCAAGAGACAGGGCGGGGACTTCAGAAGTGGAAAGGAAGTTGTAGGAGGGCCGTCAAGATTCTCAAAAGGATCTTTAGAAAGCTCCTTCATTTCAAAGAAGCCATGAGGCTTCCCAGAAGAAAGCATATTGTCCAGCACTGGGACAAGCAGGGAAACCTCTTTTTGCCCTGCCCTGGCAAGTCTTCTCTGGGTGAGCTGCTGGACTCCACCTGGTCTAGCAGCAAGCACAGACCTTTTCTTCTCAGACTGCATCTCATTGCTATGTTGGGCGATGTCGAGTAGCAGGTCCAAGACCAGGCCAGAGCCACTCACCTGTCTGGAATTCTGGTTCTCAATCCTTGTACTGACATCTGGGTGGAGGGTGAAGTCCGGAGCAAAGTACTCAAAATATTCTGCAAAGGAGCCAGGAAAGAGTTAATGAACAGAGCGAAGGGGAATTTGGGACTAGGTTTTCTGAAACTCTATTCTGCGGAGATGGGAACAGCTTGACCCTATATCATGCTAGTGGTCACCATACCATCAAGAGCACAGTAAGAGCCAACTCCATCAGGAGGGGTACGCTGCCAGGAGAAAAGAGAAAGAAACAGGAACACCGTTCATTGTGGAAGGAATTTAGAACACGTGATATTGTAATGCAGGTCTCTCTCTCCAGGGAGGCCAGCCACAATGGGGGATGTGTACTGTAAGAAGCAAAAAAGAAGGTCTAGGACACACGGGCTAGGATCAGAAGATTCGACTGCTTCAGCCCCACTCTGGCTAACATCCATTAACATGGAATGTGGAATCCAGCTACAGTTCCTGAAGCATTAGAACAGCGAGGCACATTAGCTAAACTTACAGACAGAGAGTGAGGAAACTCAGATTCATTCATTCTAAAGCCAACAGGAATCACTGTGATCAACTAGCCTGAGCAGCTGTACAATACAAAGACTTTCCTAATATAGGGTCTAAAGCAGATCTTTTAGAAAGCCATTTAATCTTCAAAATCAAAACTGCCAGAGAAGGAAAATCAACCACAAACCTGGCACATTCTTCTAATAGTCAATTACTGCCACTGCTACAAATTCAGAACATTTCCGATATGAATCTCATTTCAACTTCCAGCCGCTGGATCGTGTTCTAGCTTTCCCTGCTAGGCTGAAAAGCCCATTTTCAAATATCTGAATGCACCATGCAGGGATTTATACACGGTCATTCTTTAACTTTCCTCCTGTTAAGAGAGACTGAGCTCTTTAAATCTATCAATATGAAGCAGGGTTTCTAATCCTTTTAGTCATTCCTGTGGCTCTTCTCTGAATACGCTCCTATTTATCAGCCTCCTTTTCTTGAACTGTGAACACTAGAACTGGATGCCATGTGCCAGCAGCCGTTCTACCAGTGCCAAACACAGAGGTGAAGTCATTTCTCTACACTTACTCAAGATGATCCTGTTTAGGCATCCAAGAATCACAATCGTTCTTTGGCCACAGCATCACACTGGGAGCTTGTGTTCAGTTGATAATCCAACCCCACCCCAAATCTTTTCCAGAGGGCCCCCCATCCTGAAAGCACGGCCAACATTCTTTGTTCCTAGATGTACCCTTTTAGTCACATGCAAATGTGTACTGCCTACTAGCATCCAGCTTTCCACACAATCCAGTGCTCTGGTAGTGACCTCGTCCTTCTCATTATTTATCACTCCCCCAATCTGTGTGCATCATCTGCAAACCTTGTCACTGATGATTTTGATTTGCTTCCAAGCCATTGATAAAAATATTAAATAGCAGAGGGAAAAAGCCAGATTCCTGCAAGACCAACTGGAAACATTCATTCAACGAGGATTCCTATTCATAATTACATTTAGAGACTGTTGGCCAGCTTTTATTCCACTTAACGTATCCTAGGCTGATTTCATAGCTTTCTAATCCAATGATACACAGAAGGAGGCTCACGAGCTGCAAGTGTCTCTTTAATGCAGCTTCATGCAGCACATAATATTAAAGTACCGATTTAATTATTAACCAGTCAGGATGCTTTTCCTGTTCATCAACTGTACTTGCTAAAACATGTCATCAGTCATTTAGATGTGAGAAATTCTCTCACACACTAAATATTTTCCATCATAGTGTCTAAATAGGATTATAGAACATTCTAATACATAAAAGAATGAATTCACATATTGTGACTCTTTTGGATAACACTGATTACTAACTGGGCTCCAGAACCAGAAGCCTGAGTACCACTGTTCTAATTAAAACGCTGTGCGTTTCTAAGACAAATGCCTTACAGATGTCAATCACGTCACTATTTACTCTTCTCAAACTTGTAAACTCATTAAAAAAAGAAACTGTCACTTTGTTAGTTATGGCTCTTCCCTAAACTAGGGATGTTAAGAAGCGGATAATTTGCTAATCGTGTAGTCAATAGAATTGTTATCAACTACAAGATCAGCTGAAAAGGGAAGTTAAAGCATGAGCTAGGTTTGGGAGCTACCCCCTTGCAGCTCTGCAGTTTAAATGCAGTAAGAGCCAGGGGGCCTGCCCGCCCAGCTCCTACTACATTTTAAATGCAGAGCTGCAGCGGGTGTAGGTGCCCCACCACAGCTCTGCATTTAAATGTGTGTAGTCGACCACTTTATTACATCCCTACCATAAACTTCTGTGGACTGGCATTCATTCATACTTTCCTTTAATTCTCTATTAAAATAGTCCCATATCTCGCTGGACAGGCCTATACTTACCCTGGTTATCCTGCTTACCCATTTGAAATAGGTGACAACACCTATTTAACAAGACGCTGACTCACCACTGTATGGCAGTTCCTCACTAATTGCTTCATCCACAAGCAGCGATGTTTCATAGGTCCTAGAAACACAGAATATTCTACTCAGCCCAGCAGAGAGACACTCCCCCCGTGACACAGTCTGCCTGATACGCCACGCCAGTTCCAGCTGGGTAAAGGCCCTCAGGAGCAAAAGCACCGATAGTCCTCACACCATCTCCGACAAATAGGACGTTCTCCAGCAAGCATGTGAAGCACTCACCAGCAGCGTGCCACGTTACGAACGGTATAGCCACCTCCTCCCAGCACCAGCAAGGGGATGTTGAAGCTCTTTACATACTCCACACACTCCCTGAAAACCCAAACAAAGGGGAACTTGTGACTCAGCAGCCAATCAATGCAGCACCATGCTCAGCCTATAAACACACCTAACTTTGAGACAGTGCGTTCAGGGCTCTCAACAGTGAAACCCACACCCTGAGGGGAGCGGGTCGCCTGGCTTGAGAGATATCGAGCTCTGCAGTCATGCGTCCTGGCAAAGCACTGCTAGGAGAAGTGTTGTGAGGTCCCAAATCTAGTCTGGGAACCTGTTTCCGTAGAATCTTGTACCTTATTTGCTCTGCCTGCTGGGCCCGCAGGGAACTAGATTGCGCCTGCTGCGCTCCAGCCTTGCTCTCAAAGACCCATTCTTTCACCGACTGCAGTGACGGTCCTTGAAATGCGCCAGCCACACCCCTGATGAACTTACCCATGTCCTCTTATACTGAGGTTAAAGCAACCCAGACGGTCACAACCCAGAGAGTCAGCACCACACTAGGGAAGAGAAAGCAGCATTACTCTCCTGGTGCACCTCTGAGCAAGTCATCGGTACCCCCTACCACAGCCCCAAGCAGCACCCCACCCCCATTCCTCCAGATGCACATACTGGAGAGGCGTTTCTCCTGCAACACATGCACACAGACCCGGCCTCCTACCTGCAGCACTATGCATGTGGGCTGGTAGTAATCCACCACCTGGTTAATGACTGGCTGGAAGAGGTGTTTATAACCTGGGGAAGAGAAAAGCAGACAGTCATCGTGGCTCAAGAAGGCAAACAGGAACATCGGGGAGACGGGGGAGCATTCTGCTTACTTTGGTCATCAATGCCATCCCGCAAAGGCACATTTAGGCAGTAATAGCGGCCGCTCTCTGCCCCGACCTCGTACATGTCACCTGGCAGAGGCAAGGAGGCAAAGTCACAGGACACAAGGATCAGCTCTGAAACACCGCAGGTGTGGGCAGTGCAGACAAGAGGAAACCATCATGACACGGAGATCTTTTCCTCTTCCCTGCAAACTACCACCAGACCATAGTCCTTCCCACGGCCACCCCAGAACACCTGCCTTCCATCTTCTCTCTCTGACCCCAGAGCCACATGCCACCACGTAACTGCAGCAACTGGGCCCTGAAATCTGCACTTTACGAGGGCAGCGGAGGTTCAGTACCTGTGCCAGGAAAGAAGTAGTTCCCATATTTGTGAAAAGATACAGTCATGACACGGTCTGTCAAGTAAAAGGCTTCCTGAACCCCATCTCCGTGATGAATGTCAATGTCAATGTAGAGAACACGTGGGTGATACCTGCCAGAAACAGGAGACAAAAGTGCTTCACACCACTGGTGCCATCCCTTGCTATGGCCCCCCAAAACAAGCCTGCCACGTGCCAGAGGTCAGCCAGCTCAGCAAGCCTCTGGTCCCTCGTACGGAGCCTGGCGAATAGCTCAGTGCAGAGCATCTTCCAAACAAGGAGTGCCCGAAAATACGCGTCTGACACACGGCGAGAGAATCCAGAGGTATGGAGAAGGAAGGACAGGCTGTCAGAGCAGACTAGAGGCAGGCACGAAAGCACGTGAAAGAGGCAGAGGGCTCATTCAGATGGCCAAGGCCACAGAGAAGGTTCTTGCACTGGCTGCGGCTCGAGTACTCAAAGGGTCAGGGAGGAGGCCCCTATTGAACAAGCGACGTGAGGCTGAGGAGCGCAAGGCCACGAACACACTGGCTTGGTCGCCAGCCGTTTAGAATCTTTGCCCTGAACAACTTCATCTTGAAAATCTAGAGCCAGTTTCCAATGCCCCAAACGAAGGGGGAGCCGGTGTAGTAACTGGAGGGTGGAAGCAGTTGTTCTTCCCTGTATGTGTCACAGCGCAGGTACCATTGGTCCCCAGTGCTGGAGTCTAGAAAGCCGGGACTTAGGGTCATCAGAGGAGGAAGCGCAATCACCCAGTGGAGCCCACCCAGGGTGGGCAGAAGGACATGGCGCCCAGGGCAGGCTTGCAGAGACAGGAATGTGGAACAAGGAAAGCTGAATCAAGGCCAAAGCCAAAGTTACTGAGAATGGAGACCCGAATGCTGGGCAGACAAAGGCTTGAGAAGTGTCTCCTGCCAAGCAGACCTTCAGAGGAATGCAGCAGAGATGAAACTTCACTGGGCAACAAGGTCAGCTAAGGAGAGGCCACTCCAAGTATGAAAGCAGATGTCCCAGTCCCACTGTAAGTGTGATAACTAACGTTGAGAGGGTGCCAACCCCTATCTGAATGAGGTGACTAGGAGCACAGCACCACTTGGAGCAGGCAGACCTTGAATCATCCAGAAAACACACACCTGCCTTTCAGTGACCCTGCACCCCATTGCTTAGCCGTTTGCACTCTTGGCCAAAGCAGAGGTAACCCCTACGCTGCCTCCAGCGATGCTTGCGCCCCTTCCCTGAACCAAGAGAGTTAAACACAGAACCAGAAAGAGTCGCGTGTAGCTCACGATTTCCCTTTCAAGGAGCAATCACAGGGTTTGCAACGCACACGGGAGGCGGGGACGTACTCTGGGGTCCTGCCACGGCAGGCTCTCTGCAGAGAAGCAAAGCTTCCCGCCGACCGCGGCTGCACCAGAAGAGCAGACACGTGAGGCACATGTGAAATGAAGGGAAGAGCCATCAATCAGCCCAGGGAACCCATGTGTGGTATGAGAAAGGCAGCCGTGGCCATGTACAGCCACACCACACAGGACATCTCGCTCAGCACCACTGCCAAGGCAGACCAGTAGCACAGCCGCACTCACACCAGTCCTTACTTGAGCAGCTCCAGAATGCCGATGACTATGTCATTGACGTAACAAAACCCCGAGGCCTGCAGTGCAAAGAAAACAAATCGAGAGTCAGAAGAGCAGCAACGAGCCCCCCTCGCAGGGAGACTCCCAATACTCAGACTTGTGTCATCACCTCAAACTTCTTGGCATGATGCAGGCCTCCGGCCCAGTTTATGGCAATGTCACAGATCTATGGGAAAAAAGATCAGATTAGCTCTAAGGTAAGAGCAAGGCAGCAACAACCCCAAGCCCAACCCTGCACGTCAGCATGGACATCAGCCCTGTCCCATGTTGTGGCTCACGTTGTTTTCATGCCTTTCTCCCCATCCACCCAGTCCTTTCGGATGCCCCACTGTCAGTCATCCAGTCAAGCTACTTACACTGTACTAGATCAGCCGGGGTGGGGGCAAGGGAATCCAAGAGGTTCCCCCACAAATGAATCGCTGACACCAAGTCGGAAGTGTCTGTGGTGTGCGTTATCCCAGGGACTCCATCCCCACAGCAGCCAGCCCACACGGCTATGTTCAAAGAGGACAAGACTATCAGCTCAAAGTTACCTTGTTGTTCAGCTGCGTTGCACCCTGCAGTGAGGCCCCAGTATAGCGAGAGCAAAATTCAAAGAGGCCTGGGAACACTGGACTGCAAAGAGAACATAACACTCAAACAGTAGAACCGCCTCGCTTCAGACACACACCTCCAGGACTGAAACCAGAACAAGACTCTGACCCCTGGACAGAGAAGATCAAAATGCAGGCACTGCTAGAGAAATGTTCACTCGGGGCCATGCGGACCCTGCTCACGACAAGCCACAGGCCAACAGGCAGCACTCCGCCACCCTTCGCGAACGCTACGGAACACTTGGTGAATTCACCAACTACCATAAGAAACTGTCAAGTTAGCTAGAATAAGGACGTGAGAGTTTAACTGACTGACCATTTAACCCTGAAGCTGATGCTCATCGGTTAGTGGTTTCGGTTAAACTCAGCTGGCTCCCGGGGAGGCAGCTTTGCTGCGACAGTGCAGCCACGGCTCCCCGGGAACCCAGCAGGGAAGAGCTGCCAGCTCAGCTCCTGTGAAGGGGATGGCAGCCATGCTCCCAGGGAGGCTTTGCTGCAAGCTCTGCAGTACAAAGCTAAGCTCCACAGCTACCGTATTAAACACCCCCTTTGAGCATGCCCAGTCCGGAACAATCCACCCTGTTCCTTACTCTCCAGATCTGGAGAGTGGGCAACACGCAGACTAAATCCTTCCCTCCGCCGTGCTGATGACAGATGGGACCAGGTCCTGGAGAGACACCCAAAGCGTCCTGTGCAAGGGGGAGGGTAGGATTTCACAACCCAGCAATGACACCCGGAGCATGGCTGCCCAGCGTGTCTCCTCACACACCATCTGCCTGTGGGCTGTAGTCTGTTAGTTTGAAGCTGTTCCCCAGGTGTTCCCCGGCTGCGAGCAGCACACTGTACCCAGGGATGCACAAAGCTCTTGCTCTGCGTCCCACGTCCATTGGTCAGTCCTGCTCTAGTCAGCAAGGCGCTGTAGCACAGGAGCGCAGTGGCCCGCAGCATGCACACACTAGCATGTACATGTCCGATACACACACCTCAGACCAGCAGCTCTCTGGGCTCTGCTTGTTAGCAGGCCCAAGAGCTTTACCTGACCACACTTTTCACAAAAATAGAAGTACAGTCAAATTAGCCCAATGAAAGGATTGGTGGAGGGAGAAAGCAAATTCCAGTGCCGCAGGAGTGCAGGCATGGGAGGCTTGTTACATGGCCATCAACGGACAGCAAGCTCACTCTAAAGCAGGTGGCAGCCTGACCTGTGCTACAGCACCTTCCGAGTCCTGCAAATAGCTGAAACTCCCAGCAGACTGAGTACCTAAGGCTTGTTCAGTTTGGAGAAAAGGAGCCTCTGGGAAGAAAGGGGTAGTAGCCTTTGCCCCCCACAGCTAAATCGCATCACTTCTCATCCTGTATTCCCACGGATCAGCATATCAAGGCTGTTCTGTTACCCTATTTATTGCTTGAGATCAAGTTTTTCAAAATTAACTAGTGGTTTGGGGTGCACAGTTTGATTTTCAGAGTTTATCTGCACTTTCTGAAACTCTGGACCTTTAAGTTGTGTGACATTTGGCAACCAAAAAGCTGAGGCAACCAAAATTATTAGCCACCGTTGAAAATCTCTGCCTGAGTTCTCAAGAGCTGGGAGCCTCACAAAATCAGAGTTACAGTCCCTACCTGAGAGCGCTTACAGTCTAACTTCAGACCTAGGAACTGAAGCTCAGAAAGATTAAAAAAAAAAAAAAAGAGGGGAAGATTTACAGCAAGAACAGTTACACAACAAGCGATTTGCAACATCTTGACGGCTCCATTAGACCGCAAGGCTTTAGTTAAAAATGTGGAATTAATAGCGCACTGGAATGGCCCCACGAGGCTGCGCACACACTACAGCAGTTAACCAATCCCCCTGTGCTTCCTAGTCGCCTGCCAGACACTAGACACTCACCAGTCATCACCCACATTGAAGGCATTGAGGCTCTTGGTGAATCCTTGCATGTTGTTGGGACTCACCCTCTGCAGGAAATCAATATACTCCTCCGAGTGGAAGCGACACATGTCATGCTGGGATGCCTGGTATGGCTTAAAAACCTGCAAGAGAAGGTCACACAAGAGTTATTTCGTGCTCAGAGTTGGGTTTACCTTAACTACCACAAATCGCACCATCAAATTAACTCCCAATAAACAAATATGCCAAATCACTGTCAATGCTGAACTGTGTGCTCAGCTTAACAAGGCTCATGCACATTTTAAATAAAAAGTGGTCAAGAAAGTAGGGACTGTTCAAGAGAGGATTTTGCCAATGATGCACTTTTTATATTAAAGCACAAATTAAGTTAACTATCAAAGATACTACATATGCACAATGAGAGAAAATTGAAGCTGCTCTGCGATTAATAAGAGCCTTGACTTTTGCCTCTCTATCAAATTAAAATGCTACATTTGCAAAATTAAGGAATGTTTGCTTTTTTAAAAAAATTGAAGAAAACATGGGCTTGTGTGCGTGAGGAAATGCACTCTCATAACTATACAGGTGCAATTCCCCTAGCTGGCATGGTTATTCCGGAACAAGAGTGTCCTCACAGGAAGCTCTCAGTATAGTTACAGTAGTATAATTATACTATTATTGTTATTCTGGTAACTTTTCCTGCACAAACTCACAGAACTGGAAAACAGAACTACTCATCTATTTAATACACAAAAACAAGCCTCCAGAATTAGGGAGACACACAAATGTACCCTGTATCAGAGGGGGAGCCGTGTTAGTCTGAATCTGCAAAAGCAGCGAGGAGTCCTGTGGCACCTTATAGACTAACTGAAGTGTAGGAGCACAAGCTTTCGTGGGCAAAGACCCACTTCGTCAGATGCATGTAGTGGAAATTTCCAGAGGCAGGTATAAATATGCAGGCCAGACTCAGGCTGGAGATGACGAGGGGGATCCAATCAGGGAGGATGAGGCCCACTTCTAGCAGCTGACCTGGAGGTGTGAATTCCAAGAGAGCAGAAGCTGCTTTTGTAGTTAGTGAGCCATTTACAGTCTTTGTTTAATCCAGAGTTGATTGTGTCAAACTTGCAGATGAACTGTAGCTCAGCAGTTTCTCTTTGAAGTCTGGTCCTGAAGTTTTTTTGCTGCAGGATGGCTACCTTTAGATCTGCAATTGTGTGTCCAGGAAGACTGGAGTGTTCCCCTACAGGTTTTTGTATGTTGCCATTCCTAATATCAGATTTGTGTCCATTGATTCTTTTACGTAGGGACTGTCCTGTTTGACCGATGTATATAGCAGTGGGGCATTGTTGGCACATGATGGCATATATTACGTTAGTAGATGTGCAGGAGAATGTACCAGTGACAGTATGGCTGATCTGGTTAGGTCCTGTGATGGTGTTGCTGGTGTATATATGTGGGCAGAGTTGGTACCGAGGTTTGTTGCAAGGATTGGTTCCTGAGTTCGAGTTGTTATGGTGCGGTGTGTAGTTGCTGGGGAGAATATGCTTCAGGTTGGCGGGCTGTCTGTGGGCAAGGACCGGCCTACCTCCCAAGGCCTGTGAAAGCGAGGGATCATTGTTCAGGATGGATTGTAGATCACTAATGATGCGTTGGAGAGGTTTTAGCTGGGGACTGTAGGTGATGGCCAGTGGTGGTCTGTTGGTTTCTTTCTTGGGCTTGTCCCATAGCAGAAGGCTTCTGGGTACACGTCTGGCTCTGTCAATCTGTCTCCTCACTTCCTCGTGTGGGTATCGCAGTTTACAGAATGCTTGTTGAAGATCTTGTAGGTGTAGGTCTCTGTCAGAGGTTGGAGCATTTGCAGTTGTACCTCAGTGCTTGGCTGTAAACAATGGATCGTGTGGTGTGTCTGGGATGGAAGCTGGAGGCATGCAGGTAAGCATAGCGGTCGGTAGGCTTTCGATATAGGATGGGATTGATGTGACCGTCACTTATTTGCACCGTGGTGTCCAGGAAATGGACCTCCCGTGTAGACTGGTCCATGCTGAGGTTGATGGTGGGGTGGAAGCTGTTGAAATCATGGTGAAATTCTTCCAGAGTCTCCTTCCCATGGGTCCAGATGATGAAGATGTCATCGATGTAGCGTAGGTAGAGAAGAGGCGTAAGTGGATGAGAGCTGAGGAAGCGTTGTTCTAGGTCAGCCATAAAAATGTATCCTGTATTTCATAAGAGTTTGAACTGAAGCTATCAGTAGTATCAGGACAAAAAGTTAGCTGAAGCACATGGTGAGCTTGTGGAAACATGCAACTCCTCTCCTCCTGGGTGAATTCTGCACTAATATGTGTGCACATATTTAATGAGCTCTCCGGATTTCTAAATTTTCACATAGAAAAAGGCTTCAAGTGTTGCTGCAGTTCTTCCTTTGGTCCACCAGAGGGCACTGTGGGCCAGGAACAGCAACATGAGTAGGTCATGCCTAGATACGACAGTAAATGCTGGTGATCCTCTGCCTCCAAAAATATTCAGACAGCAGGCAGTAAATCCACAAACTGATCTAACACTTTGCCTTGACTCAGCCATCTAACTTCTGCAAGCATTGCCAAGTCACCAGACTGTTTCATACTCAGCTAAAGCTCCAAACGCATGGTGTGGTTTGGTTTATGTAGGGCTCAAACTAGGGGAGAGGATGTTTATTCTGTGCTGATGGCATTTTTTGAAGGACCAGGAAAATGCATTGATTTTGAAGAAGCTTACTTTGGTACTCCCTTCGTGGTTGGAAAAGAGAAGGGGCTAATTTATTTGCTGAAGAAAAATCCAGTTTCCAGATTTCTTTTCATACCATTGCATTCTGCACCAAGAACAGTTGTGCAGCAAACAAGAGAGGATTTCTAAAGAGCATAATGGATAGTGTCACAAAAATCATCAGCGTCATTGTTGCAAATGCCTTGAAACTGGCATGATTTTCCGCAAATGCTTTTAACGGAAAACTTTTCCGTTAAAAGCATTTGCGGAAAATCATGCCAGTTTCAAGGCATTTGCAACAATGACGCTGATGATTTTTGTGACACTATCCATTATGCTCTTTAGAAATCCTCTCTTGTTTGCTGCACAACTGTTCTTGGTGCAGAATGCAATGGTATGAAAAGAAATCTGGAAACTGGATTTTTCTTCAGCAAATAAATTAGCCCCTTCTCTTTTCCAACCACGAAGGGAGTACCAAAGTAAGCTTCTTCAAAATCAATGCATTTTCCTGGTCCTTCAAAAAATGCCATCAGCACAGAATAAACATCCTCTCCCCTAGTTTGAGCCCTACATAAACCAAACCACACCATGGGCCGCAAACAAACAGGTCATGTGTAGAGTAGCTCTGGGGTAAACAGTGAGGTGGCAAAATTTGCAGATGATACAAAATTGCTCAAGATAGTTAAGTCCAAACCAGACTGTGAAGAGCTTCAAAAGGATCTCTCAAAAGTAGGCAACTGGGGAACAAAAAGGCAGACGAATTGTAATGTTGATAAATGTAAAGTAATGCATATTGAAAAACATCCCAAGCACGCATATAAAATGATGGGGACTAAATTAGTGATTACAACTCAAGACAGAGATCCTGGAATCATTGTGGCTATTTCTTTGAAACACCCACTCAATGTGCAGCGGCAGTCAAAAAAACAAACAAACAGAATATTGGGGCTCATTAAGCAAGAGACAGAGAAGAAGACAGAAAATATCTCATTGCCCCTACATAAATCATGGTACACCCACATCATGAACGTCGGCTCCTGCCTCCCCTACCATCTCTGATACAGAGGCAGGAGAAGGGGTGTGCATGTAACAGAGAGTTAATGGATGAGGCCAAACTAATAAATTAACCATGTACTTGGCTACACATTAACATTCCTAGTCACCAAATAAAATTAACAGGTAGCAGGATTAAAACAAAAGAAAATATTTCTTCACACAATACACAGTCAACCTGTGGGACTCCTTGACAAAGGATGTTGTAAAGGCCAAGACTATAACAGGGTTGAAAAAAGAGCTAGATAAATTCGTGGAGCTTAGATCCATCAATGGCTATTAGCCAGGATGGGTAAGAACGGTGTCCCTAGCCTCTGTCAGATGCTGAGGATGGGCACCAGGGAAGAGATCACTTGATTACCAATTCTGCTCCTTTTCTCTGGGGCACCTAGCATTAGACACTGTAGCAAGACAGGATGCTGAGTTAGATGGGCCTTTGGACTGATGCAGTATGGTTATGATGTTGGAATGCTCAATACAGACTTGTAAGCAAAGCCCAGCTCAATTCACCAAAGATTCTGTCCACAGTCTGCATACTCTTGCCCAATGCTCCAGCAGCCAAGCATATCTTCCCCTGCAACTGCTGCTTTCAGCTTCAGGAGCTGAACACAGGGGGGCTCTCTTTCCTGTGCTCAGAAGGGGGGTTGTGGAGTAGACTGGCTGGACAAGGAGGATGGAAGTTTAGGGGCTCCAAAGGGGAAACGGTCTGGCTAGGCAAGGAGACTGGAACAAGAAGCTGGGAGGAGACAAAACTGGAACACGGACAGAAGAGTTTATGACCTCCAGAGCAGATTTCCCTCCCCCACAAAGAACCTGGAATGGAAACCCAGATCCCAGGAACCCCCACTCCTCTGCTACCAACAGAAATCTCTGACACCATCTCCTTGCACACTACGGTGTCAAAGTGTAACTGTTTACAGGTGCCTGATGAGCCTGGGCTCACTGGTTAACATGCCCGGTTACACGAAGCCTCCGCCTCACCCGCTGCTATGGGGGGGGAGAACAGGTGAGAGCACATTGGCTCCTGCCTCCTCCTCCCTCCCCCCCCCTATAAATGTGTAACCACTGAAGACTTCCTGACTTTGAGTACTTGACTTTGCAACCTTAATATGTTAACAGCCTGCTTTGTGAGCTACAAGTGTAGCAATATCGCCACCTGCCAATAGCGTGGCCAGTGTAATAAACGGTAAAGTGTTCAAATGCTGCCTAGCTGCACAGGCAAGACAGAAGGGAACATTTGGTTTGAAAGCTGCGATGAAGGCTTGTAAGTGTGTAATGTTCCCTATTTATGAGGTCTAACCAGTGAGACTGATAATGACACTGTCAAACACAGAAGTTTGAAACTCTGATA